AAAAATTTTAACAACTTACTGATCCTACTTATGGTGATCTGCTAAGGAATTACTCAGAATACAAGGTGAAGTGTACACCCAGGCAGTGAACCTGGGCAATTTTACAATGATTTTTTTTTCCAGTGCTTAAGCATTAAAAGGATGGTACAGAAAATTAAACTACTTATTTTATAATTGTTCTGAAAAATTGCCTTTCAAATGCCACAGAAAGATATATACTGCATGTTCTCACTCACATGTGGGAGCTTAAAAAGTTGAGCTCATAGAAGTAGAGAGTGGAATTATGGTTACTAGAGGCTGGGAAGGGGGAAATTGGGAAAGGTTGCTTAACAAACACAAACTTACAACTAGATAGGAAGAATAAGTTCTAGTGTTCTATAGTAGTGCTAGGTATCTATAATTAACAGTAATTTATTGTATATTTTCAAATGGCTAGAAGAGAGGAATTCAAATGTTCTCAGCAAAAAGAAATGATAAATATTTGTGGTGATGAATATGCTAATTACCCTGATTTAAACAATACACATTATAGACATGTACGGAAATATCATTCCATACCCCATAAACATGTAGAATTAGTATATGTCGACTAAAAAATAACAAAATAAATAAAATGAATGATTCCATAGCTATTCAATAAGAATAACAAGTGAATAACAGTAAGAAATTAGTCCTAATAGAGAACAAAACTGAATTCTAAGGTTTATTTCTACTGCTCAAGAAACTTAATTAACAGAGTTTCTTCATCAGATAAATGAAAACCACCCTATAGTTACTGAAATTGAGGTAACATGGGTGAGCATACATGGCTCAATAGGAGGGTTTGATTGAACATGCTTGCAGATAAAAAGAAATATTGGTGTATTTACCAGTGCTGCTTCCCAGCCCCACTGCCTGTATCTTGGATCATGAGTGAATCGCCATAGGTACCAATAGGTTTCAATTACTTCTGGACGGAGGATATAATACTTTTCAGCCTGCCGGACAGCCACAGCCTCCAATGCACCATCAAACTTGAATGATTCAGGACCCAACTTTAATGCTGAACATGACAAAAGAAATAAATGAGCAAAATAAACCATTTGTATTTGTAAGAGACTTTTTTCTCATCTGAAAAAATGAGGTATGAAGTAAAGTAATTTTGTTGTTTATTTTTACTGTTGCTGCTTTGCAAAATGAATCACTTTAAAAGAT